TTAATTTGATACGAATATCGATATATTTTTGTTATGCATAAAGTACTGTATATTAATGCATATTACTTAAAATTCAAGATTACAAGTAATTATCCATAAGTACAACTTATTAAAACTTGATGTTTGAATTCGTATAAATAACTGCGGATAAACATAATCAAATAGAGGATGAACATCTCATTTTAAAATATAAAAAATATAAAATATAATTAGAGTAATTATCGAGTTCCAACAAACTAAATAATTATTATCTTTATAAAAAAATTATATTATTAAACCAAATATAGATTACTTCGTTATTGTACATAAATTAAATTATAAAAAATTAAATTAAAAAATTACACAAAAAATGAGGAATTTGAAATAGTTAATTTGATACTAATATCGATATATTTTTGTCAAATTTTTTTGATATCTTCAAACATATATATTATTCAAAAATAAAAACATCATCCATTTCTTAAAATCACATAAAGACATATTTTAACATCGACTGAGATAAAGAATAAAATGAAATATTAAAATCACGATGTATCTCACTGCATTGCGCGAGTACGTTTCTAGTATATACATATATTTAAAATACAAATCCGAAAAGACAACACATAAAAATATTATTTTTCAAAAATGTTATATCAAAAAAATTAATTGGACACTTTATTTTGAAAACTCTCCTTAAAAATATTTAAAAACATTCTATAAACTTATGGTAATAATTTTATAATGGACATATATTTGTTTGACATAATTGGATGACTTATAAGACCAGATTACTGTAAGTTCTATTAATAAAATCACATATATTTATTTGGTAAAAATAGCCTAAAAATAGTTAATTATTTGATTTTATAAAAGTTAACCATTTGGTCACTAATGAATAAAAAACATTAAAATACTATCATTTGAGGAATACTCAACGGATTGCATTTGAATGAAGTTGGTAACAGAAGTTGAGTAATAAGAAACTAAAACCATGACAAAAGAATATGAGAAAACAAATTTTGTGAATTTTTTTTTATCATTTATCATAAATAACAACAAAATAACATAATTTTGTATGTACTAATTTTTTTATAAAAAAATGTATAGTTTTATTAAATCAAAAGACTAAAATACCAAAAAATGAAACCAAAAAAGATATTTAATAAACCAAAATAGGAAAAAAAAAAGTCAAAAAAACTAAAATACCCCTGGATTAAAGGAAGGACTTTTAATAAACTAAAGGGGAGTTTACCAAACACTTACTCGTAAGTGTGTACCAATAAAATTTAATACTATTATTTATTTAACGGGTAAAATTTTACTTAACGGGTAAGCGTTTACCGTGGTAAGAGTTGTCGCCCTCACTTACCGGGTAAGACTCATGGTCCTTGTCCCGTTTTTACCGAATAAGATTCTTGGTTCTTACCATATCATCCGATGAGGTAATGTGACTTGGCAAGCGTTTATCCATGTAAGTGTTAGGTAAACGGCCCCTTAGTGTCTTCGACAAAAACAACAACGATAAATTATAAACAATAAAGATGAAAATAACAATAAATTACAAATCATAAGGACGGAAATCGTAATTTAAAAATCACATATAGGCGAAATCCCAATCTCTTACAAACCATAAAAATCATAGTTTACTCTATTTAAAAACAAATCAACCACCAAAATCTGTAATCAAATTTTATAATTTTCATGCTTGTTACCATTTACCAAAGTCTTGGGATTTCGTCTATATATGTAACCATTGCAACAAACCATGATTCTACACCTTTGCTCTCTTCATATATAGCCTTCAACATCATCAGCTAATTAACAACACACCAATGGCAACCATAACTCAAGCATCAAGTTTCTTGAGTTACCAAAAAGGAAGAAGAATCACAAGGTCAACCATCCAAATGCCCAAGAAACTTAATACAGATCCTCTTAGTCTCCCCAAACTCCCCTCTCAATCTCATGGAGTCTCGTCTGGAGTTCAAGATTTAAGGTCTAAAACCAGCTTGAATCAAGAAACAACTGATCCAGTGGCAGTAGTTGAAAAGCTTTACTTGATCATGGAGGTGGTGGCCGATAGGGTGGAGATGCACAAGAACATTGGAGAGCAAAGAAACAACTGGAACAGTCTCCTCTTGACGTCGATCAACGCCATCACTCTTTCAGCTGCAACTATGGCTGCGATTGCTGCACATCATGGTGCATATGTGGACGTCCTCAAGCTTTCTTCTAGCTTCATGTATATTGCTGTCACCGGCATGTTGATTGTTATGAACAAGATTCAGCCATCCCAATTGGCTGAAGAACAAAGAAACGCTGCTAGGTTACTGAAACAACTCCATGGTCAAATCCAGACCAAACTTGCTGTTTCTACTCCAACACTCGACTATGTAAATGCAGCCATGGCGGAAGTTTTGGCAATTGATAGAGCATACCCACTTCCTCTACTTGGTGTTATGCTTGAAAAGTTCCCAGCCAAGGCACAAGCCGCGGTTTGGTGGCCGGAAAAGCCAAGTAATCCTGCGAAAGGGAAAAGAGGTAAAAACGGTTGGAACGAGGGTTTGGAAGATGAAATGAAAGAGATTATTAGGGTTTTGGAGATGAAGGATAAAGCTGATTACTTGAGGCTGGATGAGAAATTCTTGATGCTCAACAAAATGTTGGCTTTATCGGGTCCATTGTTAACGGGTGTCGGAGCTATTGGTTCAGCCTTTCTTGGATCATCTTATCATGATCCTTGGGCTGTGGTAGCTGGAGTTGCATGTGGGGTGGTGGCGACGGTGGTGAATAGCATAGAGCATGGAGGACAGGTTGGGATGGTGGTGGAAATGTACCGAAGCAATGCCGGATTCTTTGGAATGGTGGAAGAGTCGATAGAATCAAATCTGAAGGAAGAAGATGTTGAGAAAAGAGATGATGGAGAGTTGTTTGAGATGAAGCTGGCTTTGCAGCTTGGAAGAAGTATACAAGAACTCAGGGATCTCGCTGCTTCCACTACAACAAATGAAAAGGACATGAAAGAGTTTGGAAGCAAGCTCTTCTAGTATTTACTTTATTGTTAGTTCTTGTAGTTGATCATCTTGTAACATAAATAATCTCTCTTTTGAACAATGGTTTTATGTTTTGTAATTGAAGTCCTTTAGGTGTTGAGGCATTATGGGGGGAAGAATTTTAGTTTAGAGGGGTTAGAAGATGTCAAACGAAATGAATTCTACTTGTCCATTTAAAACATTAAAATAGAACATTAATGTGAGATATTGATAAATATTTGTTGTTACAAGTCTTGTGATACTTGGAGACGAAATTTGAGGTGTGATGAGTGTGTAGAAAAAAAAACAAATAAATAATATTCATGAATATTGTGGTCGGGAAAAAGAGCGCCGTTTATTCATGTTCAGGWACGAAGTGTGAGTTCTTAAAAAACAAATAAACGATCTAGACCACGATAGTAATGGACTCAGGTTTTTTTCTTATAGTAGAATGAAGATCGAGGTGGAAAAAGAGAGGAATTAGATTTTAAACGCCGTTTTTTTTAATATTCATGAATATTGTGGTTTTTGTACGTTTGTGAAATGTTAGAAAAGAAATAATTTTTTATATTATAGTTACTGAAGTTTAAAATATATTCTTATCATCAAATTAATCATTGTTAGTCCCAAATGGATCTATAAGAGTTTAAATGTAACAGTTTGTAGAAGGAGGGGGTGCATACAAACACAAAACTTTTGCTTTTTAAATTCGTTTATTGATAAGGGAAGATCAATATGAAATTTACAGATTGTTACGGAAGAAGATAAGATTAAGAAGTCATCTAAACAATCTTATAAACACACAGGTTGCACAAAAGATAAGAACAAGAAAGAAGAGAGTTAAAATGACAAGAAGGTGCTTGCTGAGAAGAGGTCTCCTCGCTATTTATATCCATTTGCATTTAATGCAAGTCAGAGGGTACGAGGCACGTGACAAACTTTTAATGAAGAGCTTGTTCTTTGTCTTCAAATATGCAGGCTTTTGACTACATATGAACAGTTATCTTTCACAAAGTTGGTAAGCATGTTAGGAGACAATAAAGTAACTCCATATATGTGTTTTTCGGTGTGAGGTATGGCGTTGTCCCTTTTATGCAAGAGGATAAAACAAAAACTAATCTTGTAGAGCAAGATTCATTTGATCGCTAACATTGATTCAACTCTAGAGTTTCTTCAGTGTTTGTTGAGTCTTGGTCAGATTTCACACTTAGATTTAGACACGCTTGTTATCACTGAATCCGCTTCAGATCACGAACTGATGTCTATATCTTCAGCTACATCTTCAACATTGTTGAAGGTTCTTTTGGTGTGAGTTTTGTCTTTGAGGAATACTTGTTCTTTAGAGAAGTTTACAATACATGTTTAGCGATCACTGAACATGCTCAGAGATGATGGTTGAAACTGAATAGAAATACAAGTACATTTCACTAAGTATGGAGGGTCATCATCAAATCACTGAGAGAATTTGGATTAACAATCTTCCCCTATTTGATAATGACAAAGCAACATAAAAGAAAATTGCTTAGTTGTTACAGTGTGGAAAAAGAACAAGATACATGTCTCTTTTATTGTTTTTGGGATCTTTTATAGATAATATAACAGATTCAAATCCCACAATTGTGCTTATTAAAGCATCCAAAAACAGTTTTATATAGTTCCCACATGAAGAACCATACAGTTCTAATTTCAATTGTCAAATAAGGAAAGTTTGTAAAAATAACTCACCTTAATCACAAAGAAATAAAGTTATGAAGATGAACAACAACAACAATTTATCCAGATAATATCACAAAATTAACTTTTGTCTTTTTTCCTTATGGTTTCTGCTTGATCGCACCACAGACCACACACAATACGCTTTTTTTTTAATTCTCCTATATTATATGCATCATCCCAATGAGATAAAATTTTTTAATTCTCCTATATTATATGCATCATCCCAATGAGATAAAAATTATCTCATAACTAACAATTTAGATATAAGAGGTGGTGGGATTTTAAAATCAATTAAGCATATCAACAATTTATCCCCTTCAACTTACCACCACTTACCAAAATCAATCCCGAGCTTTATAACTGAATAATCGATTATCATATTATTCTCCACTCAAATGAATTTTTGTCCCGGAATTCATTCAATCAAACAACTGAGGATATTTTGATTTCATCTCTGATTCCAGTTTCCATGTAGCTTCTAGACCCTTATAAAAATGTCACTGTACTTTCACGAGACTGATTTCTTTATTTCTCAAAACCTTTGTCTTCCGGTCAATGACGGCCTCAGGGGTTTCCACAAAATTCAATTTACCATCAACTTGCACATCAAGTAGCGGTACTGCTAAATTCGGATCGGCCAAACACTTTCGCAGGTTTGAAACATGAAAAGTGTCATGAATATCATTGAGTTCCTCAGGCAACCCTAACTGAAATGCTACTGAACCAATCCTTTTACATATTATGAACAACATTATGTACCTTGGACTAAGCTTATATCTTTTCCTAAATCGAATAATACCCTTCCGCGGAGAAACTTTTAATATTATGAAATCTCCTACCATAAATTCAATTGGTTTACGGCGTCTATCGGCGTAACTTTTTTGTCGGTCCTGAGCTGTTTTAATTCATTCTCGTATCTTATCTATCTTTTCTGGAGTTAGTTGAACAATCTCTGGACCAGCCAACTGTTTCTCCCCCACTTCATTCCAACACAACGACGTTCTGCAGTTTCGGCCATACAAACCTCATATGGTGCCACTTGAATACTGGAATGGTGACTATTGTAAACAAAGTTAATTAGAGGCAGATGATTTTTCCAAGATCCCCCGAAGTCAATAATACAAGCTCTCAACATGCCTTCAAGGGTCTGAATCGTTCTTTCACTCTGCCCATCCATTTGAGTGTGATACACCGTACTCAATTTGATTTGAGATCCCATAGCTCTTTGGAAACTCTCTCAACACTTAGAGGTAAATATATTGTCCCTATCTAAGGTGATTAACAAAGGAACACCATGACGAGTCACAATTTCTTCTATGTAAATCTTCGCAAGCCTTTCTAAAGGATAATTCTCCTTCATTGGTAGAAAGTGCATAGATTTCGTTAAAGAGTCCACAATAACCCATATGACATCATACCCTTTTGGAGTTCGCGGTAACTTCATGATAAAATCTATTGTGATATGATCCCAATTCCACACAGGAATTTCCAGCGACTATAAATTCTCATATGGTCGTTGATGCTCAATTTTTACTTGCAGACATGCCAAACATCATTCCACATATTTCACGATATCTTTCTTCAATCCTAGCCACCAATAAAATGGTTTTAAATATTTATACATCTTATTGGTACCTGGATGAATAGAATATGCGATCTGTGACTTTCGTTCAAAATCAGTTCACGATTGTTCCTGAAATGTGGTAATCAAATTATGCCTTGGAAACATAAATCCCTTTGTCATTCTTTGAAAGGGTTGAAATTATTCCACCAACTCTTTCGGCCTTGAATTTTATTTTTTGACAGCTTCACCTTGACATCTTAGAATTTCATTAAGAATGTCGGGGATTAGGTTTTTTCTCAACGCAATGGCTTTAATTGTTCCACTCTTTTCCTTTCGACTAAGAGCGTCAGCCACCATGTTAGCCTCCCATGGTGATAAAGAATTTCACAGTCATAGTCGTTTACCAATTCAATCCATCGTCTTTGTCGCATATTTAATTCTTTCTGATAACCAAATGTTGAAGGCTATTTATGATCAGTAAAAATCTGACATTTGGTTCCCAATAAATAATACCTCCAAATACTGCAAAAACAACTACCGCAATCTCCATGTCATGTGTCGGGTATTGTTTCTCGTGATCTTTTAACTGTCTGGAAGCATATGCGATAACTTTCCCTCTCTGCATCAATACACACCCTAGACCCAGTTTTGAAGCATCACTGTATACCATGAAATCTTCAGGCCCATCTGGTAACGACAAAATTGAAGCGCTGTATAGACAGTCTTTCAACAACTGGAAGGCTTTACCCTGGTCTTCTTCCCATTCATACTTAACACTTTTTCTTGTTAGCTTGGTCAAAGGTGCAACAATACGTGATAAATCTTGTATAAATTTCCGATAATACCCTGCCAGACCCAAGAAACTACGAATCATAGTGGGGGTTCTAGGTTCTCCTCATTCCTCAATAGCTTCAATATTTGCAGGATCTACTTTTACCCCTACCTTAGAACCTATATGACCCATGAACTAGACTTCCCTCAACCAAAACTCACATTTGGACAACCTAGCATACAATTTCTCTTTCTTCAAAAGTTCGAGAATTAAACGAAGATGTTTGGCATGTTCCGCTTCGGATCTTGAGTATATAAGAATATCGTCGATACATACAATAACAAATTTATCAAAGTATTCATTACATACCCGGTTCATTAAATTCATAAATGCCTCTGGAGCATTTGTTAAACCGAACGGCATGACCAGAAACACATGATGTTCGTATCTTGTTCGGAATATTGTTTTCGCAATATCTTTGTCTCTGACTTTTAGATGATGATACCCTGACCGTAAATCGATCTTGGAGAAATAACTTGCTCCAACTAGTTGATCAAACAAATCATTGATTCTTGGTAAAGGATATTTATTCTTTAACATTAGCTTATTCGATTCTCGATAATCAATGCACATCGGCATTGTCCCATTTTTCTTTTTAAAAAATAATACTGAAGCACCTCAATGAGAAGTACTCGATCTAATGAAGCCCTTATCAAGTAATTTTTCAATTGGGTCATTAACTCTTTTAATTCTAAAGGTGCCAGACGATATGGAGCTTTGACTACTGGTGCTGCCCTAGGCATCAAATCAATTTTGAACTCCATGGATCGATCGGGGGTAATCTAGTTAGAGCTTCTGGGAACACCTCGGGATATTCACAGACAAGATGAATATACTCTTGTTTACCCTTTTCTTTATTTGAATCGACCATATAAGCTAGAAAGCCTTGACATCCTTTCTGAACATATCTCCTGGCTTTCATGACAAATATCAAGATGTGATGATCCCGCTGATCACCATAAATCATAAATGCCACTTTCCTCGATAATTTAACACTGATCATCTTTTTGTT